GAGATGAAAATGACAACTGCGCCCTCAGCCGCCAGCCCACTCCGCATGCACCTCCGCACCTTAGTATTTTACTTCCGCACTGCGCCTCCTCTGAGTTTTGGTATGCTTTTCTCTTTCCTTCTAATTGTGGAATTTCCACTCAGCCAGCCTTCCTGTGGTTCTGGGTGATGTCTGTTCAGTCTTTTAGTTGTATTTTTGAAGTGGTTGTGCGAGGCAGCAATCTCTGGTGTTTACCTATTCCGCCATCTTCTTTGCTTTCATTTTCTTTCATCAATGTCTTATAGTTTTCAGTGTGCAGATCTCTCAACTCCTTGCTTGAATTTATTCCTAAGTATTTGATTTTTTGATAATATATATGGGAAATTGTTTTCTTAATTTCTTTTTTTTTAAATATATTTTTATTGATTTTTTACAGAGAGGAAGGGTGAGGGATAGAGAGTTAGAAACATCGATGAGAGAGAAACATCGATCAGCTGCCTCCTGCACACTCCCCACTGGGGATGTGCCTGCAACCCAGGTACATGCCCTTAACCGGAATCGAACCTGGGACCCTTCAGTCCGCAGGCCAACGCTCTATCCAGTGAGCCAAACCGGTTTCGGCTTAATTTCTTTCTGATAATTTATTAGTGTATAGAAATGTGCCTAAATTTTATATCTTAATTTTGTATATTGCAACTTTATTGAGTTTGTTTATTCTAAGAGTTTTTTTTTTTTTTTGGCAGAGTCTTAAAGGTTTCCTCTATTTAATATCATGTTCTCTGCAAATAGAGACACTTTGACTTCTTTCTTTAAGATTAGGATGCCTTTTATTTCTATTTCTTACATAATTGCTCTGGCTTGGACTTCTAGTGCTATGTTAAACAGGAGTGCTAAAAGTGGATATCCTTGTCTCATTCTTATTAGAGAAAAAGCTTTCAGCATTTACCATTGAATATGATGTTAGCTGTGGGCTTGTCATATATGCCCTCTATTATGTTGAAGTACTTTCTCTCCATACTTAGTTACTGTAGTTGAGAGTTTTTATCATGAATAGCTGTTGAATTTTGTCATATGCTCTCTCTTGGGGAGCACACGTATGTCTTTAAAAGAAATACAATGGTTATGAATGGTGTATGAATCCAGAATAAAAAAAAAAAAAGAAGTAACCCAAAATGGCTGCTAACCTTCCCCAGATAGTAAAGGAGTGTTTTGGAGGTAGGCAGGTTCCAACAAGGCTGGATATTACATATGGGAAGGAAGAGAAACTATATTCTTCCTTGGCCTCCCTCCACCTCACTTCTTCCCTCCTCTGCCCCAGCACAGCCTAGGAGGGACTGACTTTAAGGGAACAGAGAGCTGATAGGGAAGTGGAAAAGACTTCTGTGGAATGCATGATGTAAACTACTTCCATCCTCTTCCTCTGAGATCCACAGTTTCATCCACACTGTCCCCTGCCTGTGTGGTACCTGTGGCCTTTTTTGGGAGGGCTTGAAGTGGAGGTTGAAGGAACAGCTCACGAAGTGTGGAAAAATATACTTCAAGTATTGACAGTGATTGTTTTGGGCAATAGGAATCTAACTTCTATTGTTTCTTTGTTGTTTAAATATATTAGCTTATATTAAAAAAAAACTCTTTTTGTTGCTTGGGTAAATTCAGAAGAATTGATCAGCCTCTTTGGGGGTCTTTCATTGAGACAGGGTGTCCATGGGGCAGGGGAGGGTGGTTGGCGTAAGCCTAGTCCCCACATTGGTAGCCATAGGTATGGTTGCCTTTCAGCTGTCATTATGGGAAAATCTATTCATATGCTCTGTTAAGTCTGGGATTTGGGGATTTGGATCCATGTCAGATTCTTAGGTTTTCATTTTTTATTCTGCAGTTCTACCTTAGAGAAATGGAAGCCAAGCCCTAGCACATTAAGTTTTTACAAACTCTGTTTCATTTATTTCTAATAACAGATCTTTTAACAGTTGAGAAAATTGAGGTTCAGAGAGATTAATGGCTTGTGGAAAATCACACAGTAGATTTGGGTTATCTAAAATCAGTCTGAAACCAAAGGTTTTTTTTTTCTTCTTCATTTTATTTAAAGTATCTGGTTGGGACTATTTAACCTAGTGGGTAAAAAGTGTTTTACTTATAGAAAATGTCTACCAACCACTATAATTTTTTTCTTCTGAGCAGGAAATAAGAGGAAAGAGACAAAAACCACAGCTTGAGGGAATAAGGTTAGCGATTACTATAGAAAAAAGAATCCTTGACAGGGATGTGACATTTCTTGGACACAGGAATTGGTTACTAAGTGTTTACTTAATAACCCTGGGCTTTTTCTTAAATGTGATCTTATCTGTAAACTGCCCGAGAGGGCACAGTATAGACAAAATGATCTCAATAGCCCCTTGAAAGCAAGCTGTGTTTGGCAAAGAATATTCTAGAGCCACATATATCAAAATTGCCTGGGGTATTCATTGGGGATTTGCATTTTAAAGAAGTTTCTTTTATCCATTATGGTCCAGTCAGAGAAACAGCACTAGAAGAGAGATTTAATGTAAGGAATTAGTTATTGCATCAGTTACCTGTTGTGGGGTAACAAAACCCCCTAAAACTAAAAGCTTAAAAGAACAACTCTTTATTATTGCTTACCAGTCTATTAGCCAACTGGATTGTTTTTCTGGTCTTGGCTGGGCTCCTTCATGTATCTGTGGTGGGTGTGGCTCTGATTCTGGGGTCTGGCTGATGATTGGTTGGGGCAGTTGGCATTCCTTCATGAGGTCTCTCATGATTGGCTGGGGCCTGGGCTTTCCTCCATGAGGTCTTTCACGTTTCAGTGGGCTGGCCCGGGTTCATTGACTTAGAAGCTCAGTGGGATTCCAAAAGGAAGCATGCAAGGTCTTTAGGTCTAGAATTGGAACTGGTACAATATTGCTTTGCTGCCATTTATTGGCTAAAGCCAGTCATCAGCCCAGCCCAGACTCAAGATGGGGAAATAGACTCCACCTTTTGATGGGAGGAGCTTTATAGCGACATCACAAAGGGGAGTAGGTAGATTAATTGAGACCATTTTGCCAACACTATCCTAGTGATAATGGTGGAATAAAAAGAAGAAGGGGTGTGTGAAGGACTAAACAGGATTGGGGAGGTCACTTGTGGAAGCTGCTGGACTGGAGCCCACACAGGCAATGCTGGGACCTCTGAGGGAGGTTTGCCAGGCTGCTGCTGCTGGACGCTATACAGGCACCACCTGTGCCCATGCGGGGACCAGGACGACTTCTTTCTGCCTGCCAGGGACTCACATTGGCCAAACCTAAGCAAAAGTCCCTGGCAAGAGAATCTGGGAAATGCAGTGTGCAGGCTTCTAGGCCTTGCAGCATGGAGGAGGGAATAGAAGGGAGAGTGTGAGAGTCTGGGGTTGCCACAACCCCATGGAATTCTTATCGCATGGAAGTTTTTTTTTTTAAAATATATTTTTATTGATTTTTGAGAGAGGAAGGGAGAGGAAGAGAGAGACTGAAACATCAATGATGAGAGAGAATCATTGATTAGCTGCCTCCTGTACACCTCCCTACTGGGGATCAAGCTCACAACCGGGCATGTGCCCTTCACTGGAATTGAACCCAGGACCCTTCAGTCTGCAGGCTGACGCTCTATCCATTGAGCCAAACTGAGTAGGGCCCATGGAAGTTTTGAGACCTGTTCTCTTATGCTTTGATCCTAGCACAGTAGGGAAATATAAGCCCCGTTCCATAGGTGAACACTGGCCGAGTCAAGTGGGAACAGGTGAAGAATTCCCAGGGAATTACTCTTGCTGGTTTTGAGCTATAATGTGGCTGGAGATAGGGGTGTGGAAAAATAATTAGCTTGAATGGGCAAGAAAGCCAGATTTCAGTCCCATTCATCAAAAGAAATGATCTGTCTAGAGGCGCAATAGGTATAAAAATCTTGATGTTTGCCACTTGATTTGTTGCTTAGCCATCAGCACAGAGTATTTGCCTGCAGGTGTTCATGAGTTCAGAGAGGCAGGTGATCAGAACGAAAAAGTGCAAGAATATTAGTTAAATGGAGATGATCAGGCAAAAAGTCAGTCTGTTACAGGTGTGTAAGAAGATACAACTCTGAATTCTTTAATGAAGAGATGGAATTTACAGAAAATGTTTTTAGAGAAATCTAGAAGCTTCCACTTAAGAGTCAGACAATAAGTACCATAGCTATAGGGACATCCAAAAGATGGGGCAAGAGACGGGAAGGCAGAAGGCAGGGTGACAGAGTCCAAGGGTGACTGCTCCTGGGAGGTTTATAAACTCTCCACACTGAACACCTCAAAGGCTTAATTATGACATTTAAATATGCAATGGACTGATCTGGCACAAATGTGTTTTAAATATGCATTACTTTCCTGTAAGAACTATTTAACAATGATTATTTATACCGGGCTTAATCAATTAGTGTTGGAAATTGGCCTGCAAATGTGAAAAAGCATAACTGCATAATCTCAGCTCTTTAAGATGCTCTAGAAGTCATTTCCACCCTGACCGGTTTTTCTCAGTGGATAGAGCATCGGTCTGCGGACTGAAGGGTCCCGGGTTCGATTCTGGTCAAGGGCATGTACCTTGGTTGCGGGCACATCCCCAGTAGGGAGTGTGCAGGAGGCAGCTGAATCGATGTTTCTGTCTCATCGATGTTTCTAACTCTCTATCCCTCTCCTTTCCTCTCTGTAAAAAATCAATAAAATATTAAAAAATATATTTATAAAAACAAAAAAGTCATTTCTTCCTTCTCCTATCGTGGGCATCTAATGAAATGGGGCTCAGAGTGCGTAAGGGCCTTGCCTGAGTTCACACAGCAGATTAAACATGAAATGAGGACTAGAACTCTAGTAAAGTGGGTTTCTATGCCCTTTACTATAAATTGAACCTTGTATTTTAACAGAGGCCCGGCCTGTATCTGAATGAGGCAGTGTTTCCTAAATTGACCAGAATCACCCATGGGTACTTTTTCAACATAGATCTGTCTGATGCCCAGCACAGAGCTTCAGAGGCAGATTCTGGGGTGTCAGAACAAAACCATGGGGTATGTCTTTTCAGAAAGCTTCCTAATGCATTTCTGATGTCCTGCTCCCTTTTCCTTTGTCCAATCCTATGTAAGAACATGGTTTTAGGTATTGATTGTCAGAAGAGTGAACTATTTCTAGATGTCCACACAATTCCAGTTAGGGAAGGCTTTTGCCTGAGGTCCCTGGACTGAGCGATTTCCTGCGGGGCTCATGTGCTGTACACCCTCGTTAGAAATTTCCATGGGCTGCCCAGCTGGTGTGGCTCAGTTGGTTGAGCGTCATCTCATGCACTGGGAGGTCACCAGTTGATTCCTGGTCGGGGCACATGCCTGGGTTGAGGGCTCGATCCCCAGTGGGGGTTGTACAGTCAATCAATGTTTCTCTCTCATCCATGTTTCTATCTTTCCCCCTTTCCCTTCCTCTCTCTGAAATCAATAAAAACATATTTTTAAAAAAGAAATTTTCATGGGCCCATCCTTTGTACAAAGAATAATAATGATGAAGGTGTAGCATTAACTATTGTTGGGTTGGCTGCTCCAAGTACCTGTCATTCAGAAAATTGTAGGATGATGTCTTGTTCGGGCCATGTCAAATATTGATCCCCAGGCACCAGACTGTTGGCTTGTTTACCCAATGGTGAGTGTAAGTTCTAGTTGGGGAGAGGAGGCAGGTCTAGGGATGAGTGAGCCTCTCTTGTCCAGTGTGGTATCTGCAGCTCCTCAAACAGCACCTGGCACGTGGTAGATGCTCAGTAACTGCTTGTTGACTGACAATGAAAGGGAGCTGTTATTGGGTGCCAACTTGAAGTAGCTGTACTTAACATATCCCAAGTCACAGGGTCCTCTTTCCAGGGGTGTGGCTGGATCTGAGTGTCGTTGGGACTCATCCAGTGAAGCTCCACGGGGCCTAATGTATGATGATAAATCATAACCCTCCTAGGTGCTCGGAATCAATTTCACACCTCATCTGTTATCCTGAGCAGAATGCGTGAGAGCGTCCCCTCACCATGGTAATACATCAGCTCCCAGAAATGAAAACGCCTGAAGATCAGAAGAGGGAACACTGTTATAGTCCATGGTGCTTCATCAGCTACCCAGACATTGATGGATTTCAGGGGATATTTACATCTGACTCATGGCATCCACAAGGTCTCAAGCAGAACCTAGAGTTACGGGCAGCATGGAGGCAATGTAAAAAAATCATTTCTCATTATCTCTCGTCAGAAACTAGGTCTTTCTTTTGAGAAATATTCTCTGAAAAAAAATAAGAGAAAACGGAGGACAGAGTACTGTCTAGTAGAGCAGTGTTACGTTGGCCACCAGAATCCTCACTGTGTCCGTGACAGACGGTGCTAACCTACCACCGTGCATTTTCCTGTTGTGCCTGTTACAGTCTCGTTGCTTCTTAACCTGAGGCTCTAACAAGCCACTGCTTGTTGGTCAGAGATCTCATGTTAAACTGAAACTCACTGACCGGCACCTATCTGGAGTTTGTCTTTGACTGTGATTTGTCTGGAAAGCTAGTATTAGTAAGTAATAAGAGGATGAAGGGAAAAGAAATGAAATACCATAGGTTTGGAAGTCAGCTGGTATACTCCCTTCTAGGTATGGTAATATTCAAAGCCATTGGCCAGAGGTGATTACTCTCAAGAGGGAAAGCACTTTGTACAAGGTCATTCAATGGATTAACCTAGGATTTGAATCACAGCCCCCTTACACTTGACCACTTTCTCTAGATCCACAAATAATGACGCCTAAAGTGTGACTGTGGAGATTCTCAAGTGAGTGGCCTATCAGGGGCTGGCTCCTGTCTGCCTGACCACCCCCTTTCCCAAAACTTCACCTCCCCATCTCATCCATAGCCTTGTATGAAAAACCATAAATCACAGTTCTTCCTGAAATGGCTTCCTTTCCACCGTTTGTATTTGTGTCCTGCTGCCTTGTTAATTTCAGTTTGGGAGTCGGAGACCTGGTGACAGTCGCTATTGTGCCAGGCTCCTTTGCTGTTCAATAAATGCTAATAAACCACAATCTGCAGTCTTAATAATTGCTGCTGCTCGGACCAAAATGCAAGGGCAAAGATTACTTTGGGCTGAATAGGATTTGAAAAGGCTGAGAGCACAGGCCTGGAGTGCGCAGTGGAAATGCCAGTCGAATGTTAATTGTAGTGGCCCTGCTGGCCAGCGGATGGTGCGCTGGTTTCCGCCCTGAGAGCCGGAGAGGGAGGGTGGAAGCCTGTGGAATCCAAGAGGATGGGTTCAAATGGTCCAGGAGCCTCGGGGTTTTTCTGCTGCTCTTTCTATTTACTCAGAATCACCAGAATGACTGGCCAGGAGCTGTCTTAGGGGCAGGTTTTAATGAGTGGCTTGGGGATTCAGAGAGGGGCAGGGAGGTAGATACCCCATTGATTATTTCCCGTAGTCCAGGAATGGAATGCTCGGGTCTACAGTGATCCAGACACTGGATAATTACAACCATTCTC